TGCCAGCCCCCCCATCTCTTAGAGCCCCCCACTCCCAAAGCTCCCCAGCACTAGCCCCACCCCCCTCACCTAGCTCTGCACTGTCTCCCAGCCGCCAGCTGAGCACTGTTGCCTGGGTTGCAGCACCTGCTGTGCAATGCTCAGCACAGCCCTCCCACCACGCAGCAAAGCGCTCTTCTGTGGCCAGGAAGATAACCCGCCCCTACACTGCCAGTCTCTTAGAGCCCCCCACTCCCAAAGCTCCCCAGCACTAGCCCCACCCCCCTCACCTAGCTCTGCACTGTCTCCCAGCCGCCAGCTGAGCACTGTTGCCTGGGTTGCAGCACCTGCTGTGCAATGCTCAGCACAGCCCTCCCACCACGCAGCAAAGCGCTCTTCTGTGGCCAGGAAGATAACCCGCCCCTACACTGCCAGGCCTGGCAACAGCCCAGCCCACGACACACAGACGGGATCAGCAGTGTCTGCGGCACAGGCGACAGAGGTGGGCGCACATTTCTGGTGGTCTAGAGTTCCTCCCCAGGCCTTTAGCAGTTGGGGCCTAGAGACGCAGAGTCAATCAGCCTATGCGCATCTCTGGCTCGCGGCACCCACCCAACAGCCGGGTGGTACTAGCCCCCCGACACCTGCTGGTTTGAGTCAGGAAGCTGGGCTCCCTCGCCTGGCGTTGCCAGCTGCAGTGCCCTGCGATGTTGGGAAGTGGCCAGACACGTGGTGCAGGCTGGAGCTGGCAGAGGAGACCCTGCAGGGGAAGCCGGGTCCTGCCAGAGGAGGGGCAGAAATCACGGACACCCAGCACAGTTGCCCGGGGCCTCTAACCTGATCCTCCTTGGTAATGTCAATAAAGTCAGGGATGCTCATGGCCGTGAAGGCTCCCCTCCCAGGTCCTGAATACGACACCCGCAATGGAAAGAACACAGAGCAGCAGCTGGTCATGCAGCCCCGCCAGCTGAAACAGGGGTGGAGTTGAGGCTGCCCCAGTAAGGAGAACCTCACCATGGCCTGGCTCCAGCTGCAACACACTGGGGCAGTCTGCAGTGCCACTCACGGTGGGAGGAGAATTTTTAGTGTGTGCGCAGCTTATGGGGAACGGTGCTCCCCGGTGGGCAGAGGTCCCCAGCAACTGGTGTGGCCTGGCAGAGTGCCAGCAAGCAGGGGTCCATGGACTGGTGGTTGGGAACCACTGAGTTAATGTGTTGAACCAGTTAGCCAGTTAAACAGCGTTTTACATCCCTATCTCGGAGTAGGAATGTGAAGGTTTAACCAGTAAGCCTCACCCTTAACAGGTGAGGCTTACCAGTTAAGGTTACCTAGGGGGGGCTGGAGCAGCTCCTTTTCTGTCACTGGCAGAGGACCAATCCAGCCCCATAGGGGGCCCGCTGCGGACAGGGGCTGCTCCAGCCTGGCTGAAGCAGCCCCTACCTGTGGCAGGCCCAGGTCCTCCCCACCCCAGTCATGTCCCTCCCCGCCCCCATTAATCAGCTAACTGGTTAAACAATATGTTTAACCGGTTAGCCAATTAAACAGAATTTTACATCTCTACTTCAGAATGAGAAATAGAGGGACATCACTGTCTCCGTTTGAGCTGCTACAGTGCAGGAGCTCCCTCTTCATCCCTACCAATTATTTTGGTTTAGTTTACTGTGGGCAGAAGGAGGTTCCCACAGCTAATTTTTCCTTTCACTTGGTGACTCTCAAATGAGTGCTCAGCCAGGGACCAATCAACACCATTAAAGCTATGGTCACTTCAAAATTCTCCTCTGAATATTTAGGTATCTGGGAAAGAAACCAGCCAAACTGTGGTACATGGGGATTATATGTTGCATTTAAGCAAGGCAAGACAAAAGGTGGAGGGTGAACTTAGAATGCCATGTTAGCTATTTCACTCCTCTCACAACCCAAAGGCTAAACAAATGTTCTCCAACTTGGCGGATGGGCACCCTACAAGGCAGGTGCCAAACTATTTCACAGGGACACAGAGCAGAGGAAAGGAGCAGTGGACAGAGAAAAAGCTGCAAACACTAGATTCTGCCCATTCCTATCCAAAGAATGCATCTGTAGAAGGAATCCACAATATGCATGCATCCAGTGAAGACCCCACTTCTCGGTGCATGCAGCCTTCTGATGAATAGAAGCAAAAGCAGGTAAAGCAACCAGGGGCAAGAAGAAAAAAGGAGACCCTGAAGGATCAAAGGAAAAAAGGAAAAAACAGCAGACATGGGATAGCTGGGGATACACATATCAGCCAATTCACTGAAAGAAATGCTCTAGCCAAAAACGAAAGGCAGCAACCAGTAGAAAAAAGGGAACAGCCTTTATGGCTGGAGAGCCCAAGGAGCACATGGCAGGTTCAGGAAATATGTAGAAAGGAGACTACTGTTGGCTGGATCAAGCTCTACTTTACTCCACTAGCAGAAGGGTATTTTCCATTGCCAATGAAAATCTAAAAAAAGTTAATATATTTTTTTAAAATGTTTAAAACACTATAAAACATGAACTAGTTTACTGGGGAGCTGGGGGAGGTATTTACTCCTTCTCCAGAGCACCTTTGCAATTCATGAAGGTGATGAAAGTGATGAGGTGAAATAAAGGTACCCTAAAATCCCCCGTTCTGGCTGGGGAAGAATTATCCTGATGCAGGCACCTGCTGCTCTGCCTGCCTCCCAGCCCTCCATGTACCTTGGTGTACCAAGTGTGCTGGGAAGAAAGCTGCAGCAGATGGTACTGTAATAAATTCCAGGCAATGTGGTGTCCCATAGGCAACTCATGAAGGCTGCCCTTCCTTAGACAGGTCCTCTGGCTGCTTAAGTTTCATTTGATTATGAGGCACAACCAGAATCCTATATACTGGTCCTATTAACTGTGCAATACAATTATTAGTCTGAAACACATCCAGCAATATTACTATTCTCCAAAAGATTCACATAACCATTACAAATATCACATGAACCTTTTGATGTGTTCAGTATAATTAAAAATATTTCCTTCCAGTGACAGGATTTGTACAGATTTCAAATATTTTCTTCAAAAAATTATCACAATCAGAAAAATATTTCTGAACAGTACAGTTTGGGATTTGGGAAAATATTTGTTAGCTACTATTAACTTAATTTAACAAATGTATTTTCAATTATTAGATCAACACCTCTATAAAACTGCATGGCATACATATTACTTTTTTCTATTTAAAACTAGTTAGAAGATGCTAAAGGTACCATACAAACAAGATTTTGGAACATTTTCTAAACATATTTCATGCATAATTTTAAAGTAAAATATCCACACTAAAAATCATTATAAAAAATAAAACAAACTGCTCCCTACTCATGCAGGTCCAAAGATAAAATATTAGAGACACAAAAGAATGACATTCTATATAAAGAAAAGAGGAATGGAAGAAAGGAGACAATTTTTCATGCACAGAAAGACAAATGGTTTTGGAATATGACTTCTGATGACATAAATACAAATCATAAGTAGTTTTAACAGACTGGTAATAAAACAAAAATTCTATTTATGTATCTCAGTACATATATGTGTTCTGTACTATCATATTCACATTATGGTTCTATTAAGTCATATTTCAAATCATTATTATTCTGTCTGGTCTGTACCTTTTTTATTGCCATATGAGAGTTGTTCTTCAGATGGAGAGTGCAGAAAAAAAAAGAAGTGAACGATGAAGAAAAAAGTGAGAAATAATAATAATAAAAAAAGATATTTTACCTGTCAGTGTAACAAAGAATGAATTTAGAAAAGAAAAGAGAAGGAAATGGAAAATGGCCACACTACAAAGGTATTAGGTGAATAAAGATATGAAGGCTACTCACCTTGTGCAGTAACTGGAGTTCTTCAAGATGGTGTCC